CCCCCAGCATTACGTTTGCCATTACCCATTTATACACCTGGGTGGAGAGAGGCACTGTGGGAGTATATTGTCTTGCTCAAGGACACAATGCAATTTCCCTGGCCAGGGCTTGAACTCGGACTGCGACAGCATGGAACCAATACCATACCTGGAGATCATGCACTGGTGTTTGGTTGGGTAATCTGTCAATCACAAACTCTTCCAATGATTTTGCCACAGGGGTCCTTGAAGTTTGAGTGCTCGTTTCAGAATCTGCTACCTTATGAAAATTATAAATGGAAAACATAATCTGAGTGAGCTTCAGTAGTTGTGCACCATATTATATATTTTTTACATGAATGGGCAATCAAGTTACTACTTCAGTATCATAACAAATTGTTTGTGTCCTTACCCTGGTCAATCACAAAGCTTTCAAGAAGACAGCTTTATTTGTTGGAGTGGGTAGCTGATGTTATGTACAACAGGCCTAATCATGGTTTTCGATGCCATCTTGATGGGCAGGCAAAGTGGTCAGAAATTACAGCATTTGTATGGGAATCTGATGGCAAATAACTTTTTCACAAATTGAATTTTAAATAACTTTTTTCAAAAATTGAATTTTACACAAATGTGAATCGCAATGTTTCTAGAAGTGTAAGTAAATACTAACATCAAGGCACATACAGTAGTGTGCCCTGATGGCAATATACTGGTGCTGCAACTCTGCACATTTTGCAGGCCTATGATGCTAGACAATAATAATATTATTTACAAATGAAAAATCGCTGTGCAATGTAATATTTGTCTCCATCCTGTATCTACCTGTTCTCCTTTAGCCAAGGCCAGTTTCTGCCTTTTTCTCTCAAGACGAAGAATTTTGGCTTTTCGGCAAGCAGGCTTGTCTGGATCAGCTCCAATGCCAGGTGCTAGCAAGAGAGAAAATAAGAACATTTTATGAGTAGCTAATTTCAAAGCCAATGTCTTGTAAAGACAAAAGTTAAAAATATATCCAAAAAATAGTTTCAATCATTCTTAAGTACTATAAATCTATGGAAACAAAAAGCAAAATTTCCACTTTTGTATTTACTTACACTTCTAGAAACATGGCTTTGGTGACTGCTATATAATGTGCCTAATAATATTACTGTTACCCTTATTTTCAATTAGCCAGTCAGAAGCTGTGTCTACTATCCTGATATCCTGCAATGTCACTGACCTGATATGGCTACAATATCATGGTCACTTGGCCAAATTTGGGTACGGTAAATACCTAATTGTACAGATTTTAGTATCCTTTGGCAGCATATTAGGCTTGTTTGGTCTCACCATGAGTATTTTGACTTGACTACATCTCGCCAAAATATGAACCATGGCTCGACCAAACTCGCCTGATATGCCACCAAAGTGTACCAAATGATATAACTGGTATAACAAAAACCACTTCTACCTGGTGCTTGTTTTTTCAACAGCTTAGTTTTGTTTACAGGTTCACATACTGATTGGCCAGATGACGACGCTACTTGTGAATCTTTTGGTCCTTTCGTGGTAACCAAATCAGCAGTTCCCTTTACATTGCTCCTTTCCAGTTTGTCTGTATTGATATCCCTTGTTTTGATAGTCTCAGATGGCTTTGTGCCAGGCATGGGCTCTAAAAAAGCTGGATCATTCACTTCACTAAACTCTGCAAGAGTTTGCTTTCCAGCATCTTTACAATCAGCATTAGAAAAAGTTGATTCTGAAATTAATAGTAAGAATAAATGCAGTCATTTAGTTTGTTACCAATATTCATGGCCCTCTATGGATTCCATTTCTTATAATGTGTAGGTTCTTGAATAAGTAAGTTCTTCTTTTTCCTTTGGCAAAAATATATAAATTCTGATCATCTTGGATGAAGGACTTCATGCTCTAATCATCTTATTGTCTAAATCCCACCCCAAATTTTTAATTTTTTCTTAAAATAAATATACCATTACACAGTTCTCGACAGTTTTGAGAACTTGATACCAAATTCAAGATTGCTATCCCATAGTTTGTGATTTTCTTGATCCTCATAACCTGTTGATAACATGCACTAATACTGTACAAGTCTATAAAACAACTTACAGTGTAGAAACACAGCATTGTGAAGATTACAAATTTAAAATACTATAAACACATAGATTACCTGATTTGGGAACTGTGAGAAACTTGGTCATTTTCTTCAGTACTTTCTTCTGAGACTTGGTGGGATGGAAGGTGTGTGTATCACATCTGATTAATTAAATCACATTATTGTGTTTTTAAAGTTTCTGTGTTGTTGATTAAAGCAGAAGGCGTGAAGGTTCTAAAGGAAAAGTCTGTACTGAGAAAAACTGGCTCAAACTGCCTCACAGTCTAACCCTGAGCATTTTTACTTGGCTGTCTTAATAGACCTTTCCACATTCCAGCAAACCATGGTGCCGAATTAAGGTCAGGGAGGGCAAAACTGCAGCAAAATATGGATAAAAATGTTCACCCTAACCTTGCTCTGGTACTATTGTTTGTACGCACTAAAGTGGAATTCAGGAAAGGTCTATTAGTATTTCATAGGAACCCTTTTAGTATGCTCCCTGGTAGAGAACAGCACCGAAAATTAATCGCCTTCATCAAGAGTTTAACTCATTACAAGAAAAGGTGGCCAGGCAGTGCCCAAGCCTGGATGGCTTGATCCAGAGCTCAATGTGCTTCCAATCAGGCCATCTGGTCTTCCTTGATTGAGTTTACCAGCCAAATGTTTGATATATTAGATATCTAAAACATACTTGATTGTGTAGGCTGGACAACATGTTGTTTTCATAGTTGGCTTGTACACATATTTACCACTCCTGAAATTAACAAACAAACAAAATAGACAAATTTATATGATATAGCAACAACGATTATAATTTGAAGAAATAGGCTAAATAATTATTACAGCAAAGTGTGTTTCCATAGTAGGTTTGATTGCTTGTTTTTGGCATGGAATACAATGGTTCTACACTCGGCACAACCCT